TTCTCCAAAGTTTCAGCATTTCTCCCCCCGCCCCCAATAGTTTTTAGCCACCATGATTGCAGAAGAAATCTGTCAAACATGTTTAAGCCTGAGTTTGCAGAGAGTCTGAAATAATAACTCTGAGGTGTGAACCGCCCCATTCATTTCAATAGTGATTTTTTAAATGTCAACACTTAACTATTTCACTGCTCATCAAAGCATGCAAAAAAGGAGAGATTCAAATTATGAAGGCCCACACCAGTGTTTTCCAAAGCACGGGGCATGAAGAGTTATCTGCAATGTATGAGCAGAAGACATATTAATTAAGAGAGGTGTGATTGCAGGGGATGCATGACTTGTTTCATTCTCCAGAAGAGGGGCTGTGCTTTCAAGAGATTAGGAACAATTGATATAAAATCCAGCCTAGTTTCTTAGAACAAAAACAAGAGTCTAAAATGAACAAGGGCCCAATTCAACTCCCACTGACTTCAATGGGACTTAAACTGGGCCCTACCACACATTGGAGTTTGCCACTGAGCAGCCCAGCTCATGCAGTCTTGGCATAGTGCCCCATACTACTAACTAAAAGACAGATCCGAGAACAAAATTATGATCAGAAGCCCATACCCAGTGCTGCTCAGACAGACTGCGAATGCTTTGTGTTCTAAACTCCACACTAGTCCTCAGTGCGGTTTTTATGTCTGACATGGGGAAAAAAGCCTTCACCTCTCATGCAGAATTAATAAATCCAAATCATAGAAGATGCCTTAAGGACAAAAATGAACTGCTGGGATCTAGGTTAGGTAAGCAAACCCAGGGCCTGACTACATGTGCGGATGTAAACAACAGAAGACAATTTACAACAACAGTAAACAAGTATTTAATTTAATAATTTTTGCCAAACAGTCAAAATAAGGATCAAGAAAACAAAACAATTTCCACTAGCTATAGGATGTGAACTGGACCATGTGAATAGGGTAGTAAGAGAGGGTTGAAATTGCCTAAAATCATTGGGGCTACTGTTTACTGCACATAGTGCAGAATGTCAGCAAATACTTTTCTTTGTTTGCAATCCAAATTTCTTAATCTCTATCCACATCATTTTTATGCATGTCCAGTACTGTCTGATTTTTTCCACCAATAGGATATTTTCTAGCAATCTAATGGAATTATGAGTAGACTCAAAATCCATAGCAGTATGTTTGTGTACACAGGCTCCATATATAAATAAAACACTTATTTGATAATACTATATTCTCACTCCAAAAAATTAATTGAAATTCCATTAGTCTATATGCACAGACAGCTAAACAGGGTAAGGTTTTCCCTCCTCAGGCTTTAGTGTCTGGACAAAAAGCTATTAATATAAAAGCTTTAATGAATCTACAGTGAAATGCAAATAAGCATATTGAGGCCCAATGTCCAGGGAAGACTAAGGCAATTTACAAACCCTGATATTAATCAGAGAGTCTAGGCTCTGTAAAGACAGGTTCTTTCTAGTCTTGACTTCTAATCTGTCATTGGGAAAAGAAGTCTAATATTAATTTCTGTCCTTTTCATCAGCACTGTAAGAACATATCCAATTGTCAGAGCAAGTTATATATGCGATACAAAAAATAAAAATGGACAACACTTCATTGGGCCCATTCAAGCGGGTCAGCTGAAAAAAACAATTCTGTGGATAGACAATACAGAATCCTTAATCTTTTAATCAGGCAAGAGTTAATAAGCCATAACTATCCAACATACCTGTACACAGACATGATTGTAATGCTAATGCTTCCTGATCATTTTAAAAACATCTGAGAAATTCTCCATTTCTCCCCCTCCAATGGGCACTTAAAGTGCGAATAAAAATATTAACTTAAAATGCTGCTAAATACTTTTGAAAGTCTTCAATATGCATGCCAACCATGCCGTGAACCTTAAACACTAAAACTTAATCCAGTGTTTAGTTTTAAAGAGATACTAGATACAGAAGAGTTACTTCTTTCGTCAAACTGCATTTTAATTTAATAAACAGAACAAATTAACTATGAGCTAAGATAATGAATAACTCATTGTCCTGCAAGAGGCCTACATCACATACTATATTTATATTTGTCTGTACAGTGGAAGGACAGGCACAGACTTGTTTGTGATCAGCAAGTCCAGTATTTCAGTAGCTGCTATATCCTGCTATACTATTTTGATTGAAAATATGTTTTGCATACTAGAAACACATCTTTTAAACTAAAAATGTCCATCCACTATACTCGCAAATGGGGGGGGGGGGGGGAGACAGATAAAACAGTGAAGACAACGCTGAAAGGTACTCATTTAAATGTATTAAATCCTTCAGGAGTTAAAAAACACTGACCTCCTAAAACAAAAAACCTAGGAGAAAATACTCTTTTCAATAGTGATAAGTTAAAGCTACCCATAAAGATGGAATCTGGTCATTTTAGTATTATTCTCAAGAATAGCTTGTACAATACATTAACTGCCAGTACACTCCACCTACTGTAAACAGTACTAATTCTTGGGTTGGGAGCAGGGAAGAAGTGAGTTTCCAATGCATGATATAAGTACTGTATGTATATTACTTTTCTTTTGCAAAACTACCTTAATTTCTGGTTAATAAGAATAACTAAATCTGCACTAATATAGTATATAGGACACTAGTAAATATTAACAAAAACAAAAAATCAGACATTCAGGTGAAGACTGCTTGCTAGAAGTACAGTACTAAGAGAACACAAGGATTTCTAATGTTAGCTCTCCACAGTCAGAAAAACAAAATTTAAAGTAAGGTTTGAAAATTGAGTGCAATTTTATTATAAATAAGTTGTTTCACATATTATATGTTTACAGTATAATATGCAAGTACTGATATTGTCTCGAAGTGCTGCAGAAGTTTTAGACCTGTCAAGAAAGCTGTAAGGACAGTCAAGAAGTAAAGGTCATGTGTATATGAAGGATGGCTAATCAACTATCTACTAATTCTACAAGCCGTGCTGGGAGAGGAGACAACCACAATGTACTGGCGTTTTTGAAACTTCTGATTGTTTCAGATACTTTGTACTAGCTTATGCATCACCATTTGGTGAAGCTAATAAAGTTCTTTTGTACTGAAAGTGAAGAAAAGTTATTTACTCAAACATGTTACATATTTGAACCAAGCTATCTTTGAATGTAATGTTATAATACCAAAGTCTCTTTTTAAAAAGCAAGTTCTTATTAAAGGAGAGGTTTTACTTAGTAGCCATTTTGTCTTCAACTTGGACATGATACCTAATCTGAATGCAATGTAAACATGCTGTCTGAGAAGCTGATTTCCAAATACCATGTTGATGGGAAGAGAAGGGGTAAAACATAAAATATGTACCACAAAAACCTATTATAAATCAGAATAATCTGAAGGTAACACAATCAGAACATCCAGGAAATTCATCAGTTAATATTGTCTCCTTAAGTCACCTCATTGCACACAAAAACTAAACAAAAGGCTGTGTGTGTGCGCATTAAGGACAGAGAATGTGATTTACTGTTTAATTTTAATTTCCTAGGTTTTTTTAATATCAGTTTAACTACATAACAACCCCCCTAATAATATTTTTGGACTTCCTTTTAAAGTCCATATTAATTCAATATACCATAAAAGCTAACTATAGTATGAAGCACTATAAACACTGGATCAGTTCACTGGCTACTAGGCATCCATAATATGGATGCTGCAAAAGGCAAAAATTATTGTACATATGCAATTCCCAATTTTCAAAATGTACCCAAAGGGCTTAATCCACATATTGCAGGTGCCAGGCCCTTGCAATACTTCACTCTCAAAACAAAGCAATTTTTTTATTTGGAGGACAAACTAAACTCAATAAACTTTTTTAAAACTAGTTTTTAAAAACTAATATTAAATTCAGCAGAATGTGGGTTTACTGTGAAGTGATTTTGTTTAAAATTTGTAACAAAAATTGGATTCTTGGAAATGTCACCATGCCAAGTTTTAGCCCAGATCACATTTTAATTGCAAACCCATGGAAATAGAGGTTTATAATAGGAACACTGATACAATCTTTATTATGACATTTGCACACCTTGATGCATTAATACTTTGTATTACTGGGGGATGAGACGAATTCATATATCAAAAAGAGCCTATTAATAAGCAGAAAACAATATTCAATTATTAAGATACCTTAAATAGGTGAGGCTATATCCATTATTTTAACACAAACCTACCATAATTACCATTATCTCTGGATACAATGAATGTAAACATAGCCAACCAAAGCCTTGAGTACATTTGACTGTATATAATTCCTGGGGGAAAATGCTGGTATCCTCTAAATAAAAGAGATACACATGTATGTATGTAGTACAATATATAGAATACATACAGGTGTGTGTATATTATATATATTTCCAAAAGGTGCGTTCTTCCCAGGAAATGCAGAACCACCACCTCTCCTAGATGGTTTATAATCTTGAATAAACACTGCAAAAACATGTAGGGGAGGTAACTAATCCTACAGATGAACAGGTTTTGCGTTGCCTATTAATATTCTTATGGACAATGGTCCGTCTGGCTGAAATTCACAATACGCTTCTTCCTCTGTGTGTGTGTGGGGGGGGGGTCTCTCTCTCTCTCTCTCTCTGCAAAGCCAAGTAAACACATTTTCCATTCCCCATCCCCCACCCCTCAGATACACACCACCATCATGCAGTGCAAGTTATCTCCCAACCTCCTTTCTTTTAAATGCACCAAGTGTTTCGATCCCTATAGCTTTTAAGCAACTTGTTTTTCTGCAGCTCTAAAAAAAAAACATGTAACATTTATTTTCGGGGGGCGGGGAGGGTGGTTTCAGAGGTGCCCATTAAGGAACGATTTACCCCAAAATAACCCCCCAAAACAATGTCAAGGGCCCTATCAGCGAGCACCAGGCTCTGGCAATGCACATGCAGCGCCTGCACGAACCAATCTCCGGCTCAGCGCGAAGCCAGCGTGCCATGGAGGCGGCTGCTGCTCTTACCAGATGGAGTTCTTGATTTTGTGTTGCAGCGCGTTGGCTTCCGTCCCTTGCAGCCCGGGCACCAGGGCTGGCAAAGCCCCCCCTGGCGCGGGGGTGCCGGGGAGCTGCTGCGGCGGCGGCGGCTGCGGGGGATCAGGTTGCTGTTCTTCTGCCATCATCGCCGGCGGAGGGGTGCGGGAGAGGGAGCGGGCGCGAGCGGCGCTGGAGACACTAGGCCTTCACCCCAGCACTCGAGTGAGTCGCCTTTCCCTGCTGCCTGGGGGACATCACGGAGGAGAAGCCGCGCCGGGTCCAGCCGCTGCTACGCCCGAGGGTGGGGAGCCTGCCCGAGGGGAAGGCGCATCGCGGCGCTGCCCCGCGCTCTGGGGTCGCTGCGGGCTCGCCGCCGCCGCCGCCCCCCCAGCACCTGGTCCCGCTGCAGCCCCAACGCAGCCCGCACAGCGCTGCCTGCCGCTTGTCCTGCTGCTGCTCTGCCAGGCGAAGGCAGCCCGTGCGCGCAGGCTCACTGCCGCCCTGTGCAGACAGCAACAACACGGCTCAGACACAGGGGGGGCGAGGGAAGGAATAACCAGGGCAGGGACCCAGCCAGCGGTAGCCGGGCGGCGGGGGGGGAGTTGACTCCCGCAGCAGCGTGCCTCAGCCTCCAGGCAGCACTGCAGACTGAGGGGGGAAAGGAGCGCCCTGCCCTTGATTCCGGCTGGCTGTGTCAGTGGGTGTCCATGCTGTTTGGGCAGGATTATGCAGTGTTGCCAAGTGGCCATGCGAAGGAGAAGGCTGGGCAAGGCACTCCCTGCACTAGACACCCAGCAGCAGATCCAGATGCAATGGCATGGAGGCGGCCCCCCCGAGACACAGGGCAGCCTCTCACCTGCTACCCAGGAGTTGCAGGATGCATCACACCACTGAGAAGGGTCAGGGGGAAGGGAGCTGGGGGAGTCCCCTCAGAAGAGCACTGGTAAAATGTGCCCCTAAACTGCACATCCTTGATTAGCCAAATGCATAAATTACATTTTTTGTGACTGGGTTGCTGCTTTAAATTTAAATATGCATCCGAAGAAGTGGGTTGTAGCCCACGAAAGCTTATGCTCTAATAAATTTGTTAGTCTCTAAGGTGCCACAAGTACTCCTGTTCTTTTTGCGGATACAGACTAACACGGCTGCTACTCTGAAACCTGCTTTAAATTGTTAGTCATAGGTACAGGGCCATAGGTCTGCATGGCCATTTTACGGATAAACACATCACAAGAAGGGTCCCTTGGAATGCCACATAAGTGCAGGGGTCTGCAAACGTGGATCAGATTGCTAGGTTAGGGCCCAGGGCCCAATCTGTAAATACATACAGTATTACCTAGCATTGTGTTTACTCACATTAACAGCCCCATTTCATTAAAAACTATTCACTGTAGTAGGCAAAACACCTGTTGGTTATAATTCACACACACAATATTTAAGAATAACTGAGGTTGTATTGTACTTGCATACATAAATATGTAATTTAAATTTACACTCTGCCATACCAATTATCTAAACATGTCCTCCCTGATATTTTGTTATCAGCATTCTACTGCATATACAGAGATTCTCCAAAGTCAGGCAATATGAGTTAATGTTTGTGAAACATTTACAAATACTATTGTTTATTATTTTTCAGTGCTCTGTGTTTCCTAGAAACCCCACAATAGAGATAAAACAATGAATGATAGGCTTGATTCTCTCTTGCCCTGCAACCATTTATGCACCCCAGTGGCATAAAGGTACCTTAAAGGCAGTGATCTCCCTTCCCTACTTGGGTCTTACCCCTAGTGTAGGGGCCTCCCTTTCTGGCTTAGAACCAATGAAATGGCTTTGTGGTGGCCCCCTTAAAGCTCTCAGCATAGGGGCATTCTGGATGAAAACTAGAGCTGTGCTGCACTCCACTTACTCTTGGCCTCCTATGGCTTCTATGGAGCTGTGGGCAGTGCAAACTTAGAGCAGCCTTGTGGCTGATCTAACATACAACAGCAGCTGGACTTGCTTCTGGCAGGATGGAAAATACAGGAGGCACAAAGGGTGCTTAGATCTACCTTTCACTCTCTCAGCATTCCTGTATTTATTGCCTCTCGGAGTGGAGAATCAAGCCGTATGATCCCCACCCCAAAGAGCTTACAAAACAAGGGCCCAATTTTGCAACTGGATCAACACATGTAGTATCTTAGACCTACGCAGAGTACTTTGAAAGCAGTGGGGCTTCACCCAAGTCTACCTGCATGCATCTCCATTGAATTCCATGAGATTTTATGCAGACATGGAGTCCAGACATGCAGCTCTGATTCACGGTCAGAATCTAATTTCAGACAGGATGCAACAAAGTGACGGCAGCAAAACTGTCAAGGGAGGTTAAGGGAGGAAGGAGAGAGATAACAGTAACACTACGATGTAGTTATTCGCACAGGCTTCCCTACCTCACAGGGGCGTTGCAGATATAAATATATTAAAGATTGTAAGGTGCTCAGATACTACACTGATGGGTGCCAGAGAAGTACATTAGATAGATCAACGAGGAGTCCGGTGGCACCTTAAAGACTAACAGATTTTGTGGGTAAAAAACCCACTTCTTCAGGTGCATGGTATTGACACCTCCTCATCAGTTATTGGGAGTGGACCACATCCACCCTGATTGAATTGGCCTTCAACACTGGTCCTCCATTTGTAAGGTAACTCCCTTCTCTTCATGTGCCAATATATATTTATGCCTGTACACCGGACCCCCACTAGAATGCGCGTCTATATACCGCAAATTCGCATATAACGCGGTCGCGGCCATGGATCCCAAATTTAATTACTTTAATTGCAATTCATTTTAACACAGTCCCCGCTATAACACGGTCCCCGCATTAACGCGGTACCATGCATGGATCCCAAATCCCGTGTTCTAGCGAGGGTCCGGTGTATCTGTAATTTTCACTCCATGCATCTGAAGAAGTGGCTTTTTTACCCATGAAAGCTTATGCCCAAATAAATCTGTTAGTCTTTAAGGTGCCACCGGACTCCTCGTTGTTTTTGTGGATACAGACTAACACAGCTACCCCTTTGATATTAGATAGATCAGTCCAACCTCAGTTATGCATAAATATTATCCGTGTGTGTGTATTCTAACTAATAAGTTTTGTACCTACTATTGTGAGTAGTTTTTAAGGTAATGGGCTGTTCATGTTAGTAAACACAATGCTAGGTAATAAGCATTTAGATTGGAGAATATTTTGCAGGAAGACAATGAAACTGTGAGGTGGGCGGGGGCAGTCACTATCAAAAGGGACAGAAGTTCAAGTACCTAGGTTTAATAGTACAGAATAATGGTGAACTCAACAATGAACTTATAAGCAGAACAGGAAAGGCATGGACTAAAGGGAGAGAAGTGAGTGGAGTGATCTGCAATAGAAGAATGCCGATCAAACTGAAAAGGAAGATGTACAAGATGGTTATCAGGCCTGCACTTTCTTATGGCTCTGAATGCTGGGCACTGAGACAGGCACAGATCTTGAATACAGTGGAAATTAAAATGTGAAGATGGATGCATGAGAGTTACAAAGATGGACCATGTTTGGAAGTATGAAGGTGGGACCAATTATAGAAAAGATGAAGGGGCCCAGGCTTAAGTGGTATGGGCACGTGAAAAGAAATCTGTAAGAATATATAGGAAACAGGGTGTTAAACTTAGAAGGATTTGATTAACTGTGGAGTTTCCAAAGAATTACTTCAAGACAGGCTGGAATTGAGAAGAAGGACTTGAAGAGCCATAAACATAAACAAATCAGGGAAATACAACCTGGATAGAACTACTATAAGGTGGGGCATAACTTGTTGGAAATCTGTTCCCAGAGAGTAGCTATCAGCAGTTCACAGTCAAGCTGGAAGGGCATATCAAATGGGGTCCTGCAGGGATTAGTTCTGGGTCTGGTTTTGTTCAGTATCTTCATCAATGATTTAGATAATGGCATAGAGAGTACACTTATAAAGTTTGCAGATGATACCAAGCTGGGAGAGGTTGCAAGTGCTTTGGAGGATAGGATTAAAATTCAAATGATCTGGACAAACTGGAGAAATGGTCTGAAGTAAATAGGATGAAATTCAAAGTACTCCACTTAGGAAGGAACAATCAGCTATACACATACAAAATGGGAAATGACTGCCTAGGAAGGAGTACTGCATAAAGGCATCTGGGGGTCATACTGGACCATAAGCTAAATATGAGTCAACAGTGTAACACTGTTGCAAAAAAAAAAAAAAAAAAAAGCAAACATTGTTCTGGCATGTATTAGCATGAGTGTTGTAAGCAAGACACAAGAACTAATTTCTTCCACTCTACTCCGCGATGGAGTAGGCCTCAACTGGAGTATTGTGTCCAGTTCTGGGTGCCACGTTTCAGGAAAGATGTGGACAAATTTGAGAAAGTCCAGAAAAGAGCAACAAAAATTATTAAAGGTCTACTAACATGTCCTATGAGGGAAGATTGAAAAAATTGGGTTTGTTAATCTGGAGAAGAGAAGACTGAGAGGGGACATGATAACAGTTTTCAAGTACATAAAAGGTTGTTACAAGGAGGAAGGAGGAAAAATGTTCTTCTTAACCTCTGAGGATAGGACAAGAAGAAATGGACTTAAATTGCAGCAAAGCAATTTAGGTTGGACATTAGGAGAAACTTCCTGTCAGGGTGGTTAAGCACTGGAATAAATTGCCTAGGGATGTTGTGGAATCTCCATCATTGGAGATTTTTAAGAGCAGATTAGACAAACACCTGTCAGGGATGCTCTAGATAATACTTAGTCCTGCCATGAGTGCAGGGGACTGGACTTGATGACCTCTCAAGGTCTCTTCCAGTCCTATGATTCTATGAAAAAGAAGATAGGAGATACCCAACTGAGGGAGGGTTTTTTTTTTCCATTTGTACATAAGTAGTAAGTGACTTAGTTGACTAATTTCTTGACAGCATCATGGAAATTGGGGGCCTAAAGAAGAGGGACTAAAATTTTATGTTACATGCACACAGACACTCTCTCTCTGTCTCTTTCTCGCTCGCTCTCCCACCTCCCCCTCCGCTTGCTTTTGGAGATGAACGTTTATAAACTATTGCATTACCAACCAAAGCAAGACTTTACAAAAAAATAGCTCCTCCCTCTCTCTGTCATATTTCCTCTGCTCCTATGTGTCAGTTTTGTTTACCTTATAAAATATTCTGTTCAAAATTAGAGAAGCTAAGTTCTCTCATTCTTGCCTTTTATTTAAAAAACAAAACAAAACTGTTCTTTTTTAGTCTAGAACTGAAAATTTCTAAAGGTACAGCCTCCAAAAGGAATTCAGGAAAGGGAAAGAAGAATGTAAGTAGCTCCTGCAAACAGGAGCAGTTAAGCAAAAAGGTCATTTGCTTAATCCTAAAAGTGCTACTTGAAAGTCCCTAAGTGCCAAACCTTTTTT